AAAAGTTGGATGGTTAATGCTGGAGGTCGAGGTGCTGAGGTGGTGAGGGTCGGAGGTCGATCGGTGGAGGTGGAGGTGAGCAGGTGGATGGTGAATGCTGGAGGTCGGGGTGCTGAGCTGAAGGAGATCGGAGGACAATCGGTTGAGGCGGAGATGGAAATATGGATGCTGAAGTCTAAAGGTCGGAATGATGAACTGACAGAGGCTGGAGGTCGGAATGCCGTGGGGACGCAGCTTCTAATGTGCTCCGTTTCGCCCTGTCTTGCGCCAGCGTGAACCAGCGTTGGTCGCCTTGCTCAAACAACGGTTCTGTTCTTAGAGACTGTACGATCGCATCTTCCCACCTTTTCCGCTGACGTCCGTGTCTGCACACTGCTTGACGGCGGTGGTGTGTGTGTCCGGCTCCCACGACGCAGCGAGCCGTGCCCATCTGTCGTACGAAAGCGTGGCCACTCGTCCTGCCCATCGCAATTTGTGTCTGCCATCTATCGTCGTCCAATCGTCTGCGCTGGCCCGTTTGGCAATGTCCGTTGCTATTCGCGTAACTCTGCGTAAGAAATCCTCCCACGGTTCGAGGTCGGCGTCGTCATCGTCAGCATCGAGGTCCTGCCGGTGCTTGTTGTCATCCGAAGCGCCGCTGGTTCTGCTGTCGTCGCCGATGCAAGTTTCGTAGGCGGAGTTGCTGACGTTGCTGGTTGTGGTGCTGCCCTGCGTCGTTCGATGCCTCGGGGTGTTCACGATGAGTCGTAGCCTCCGCCTATGGGTCCGTCGTCATGTTTGGAGCATGTCTCTGGTGAGCGTCCAGGAGGTGCAGCCGTACAGTACTGCTGGCGTCACTGTTCCGCTGAAGAGCCGGAGCCTGCTGTGGAGAGAATACTTTTTGCGTCTGAATTCGCCGCGGAGCTGGTTGAAATGGCGCAATCCAGACGCGAGTCTGTTGGGGTATACGTAGTTCATATTTGGTTGGTTGCATAATGTTATTCAATCATCACCCTATGGCCAGCAAGCGAAGGTTTTTTACTGTTTGGTGAAAGTCGTGGAACGTGAGCTTGCGTCCAAGGTATTTGGTGGTCTTGTCCGCGCAGAGAATTTCAATGCTGTCGCCGTCCAGGTTAGCGTGTGTGATTGTCCGTCCCTGCAGTCTGTTGGCGTTGGTGATGATTTTGGTTTTGTCTGGATGCGCTACAAGCCCGCACTTAGATGCTTCGTTCTTCAGGTCCTCCAGAATGTCTTTCAATTGCCGTAGGTTCGGCGCAAGAAGAAGTACGTCGTCGGCAAAACGTAGGTTGGAGAGCAGAGTGAACTTGGAATGGCCAAACTGAATGCAAAATTCCCTGCGTCCCCAAGAAGGCTTGCTTGACTTGCCAGAACACGTGCTCGAGCATCGCGTTGAACAGGTAGGAACTCAGCGGGTCACCTTGTTTGACTCCGCGTTGGATGCTAAATTCTCTGCTGCTGACGTCGGTCTTCACTGTGGCGATGTGGTCGCTGTAGAACTTCTGAAGTAATGGAATATACGGTCCTGGTACATTCTGTATCCGTAAAGCTTTCCAAATGTGTTCGTGATCGCTGCTGTCGAATGCTTTCTTGAAGTCTATCGCAGCGGCCCATAGTGGGAGCTGCCACTCGTAGGACTGCTCGTGCAAAAAAACCGCGGTGAAAAGATGGTCTTCCGTACAGAACCCTTTGCAGAAACCAGCTTGGTCAGGCGTTCGTTCAGACTCTAGGTTTGCCTCCAATCGGTTGCATAACAGTCGAGACATGTGTAGCACTGGGATGATGGCGATTGGTATGTACTTTTCTGGGAGATGTGGGTCACCAGATTTGAAAAAATGACGCCAATTGTGGTCCGGCTCCATTGCTCAGGGGGCTCTTGTTCTGGAGCAATAATATCGCTGAAATGTTTCATCAGATGCTGCTCAATGACTCCCCTCCAGCCTTCAACACTTCTACTGTGATGTCAGATGTGTCTTTGCATCTTCCCTTTTTGAGCTACGCCACTGCGTAGTGTATCTCTTCCACGGTGAAAGGTGGGATCTGGTGATCGGTGCTGTTTGCGACGTGGTCTCGCACGTTGGGCGTCCGTTCGCCTGCAGTTCCAGCTGTTGTCGCGCAGCGTCGGTACAATCGCTCGTAGCAGCCAGCGGAAACATCAACGATACCTTGGCGATCTGTCTCATTCTCGCCGCCGTTAGTCGTCATTGCTGGTAGAAGGTCGTTTCTCTTTCCAGACTTAATGCCAGATATATTCTTGAGGTCGCGAAACTTGCACATGATCTCGTTCAGTGCTGTGTGTCGTTGTGCTCGTTTGATGGTCCTGTGGTGACGGAGGATGCGTTTGCTGAGGTCTCTCCTGGTAATTGCACCAGCGTGCGGTGTGCCCCGACGTTGCTTGATGAGGTCTCGTAATGCTCGTGTGGCGTTGTCGTGGTTATATTCGTCGTTGCCAGCGTCGCTTGGGAGTTGCTGCTGGTGTTTGTGCTGCTTCTGGAAGTCTTTCTGTGCTGCTGTCATTGCTTTTTCGGTGCGCATGTAGGCGTCGTGTGAGTCATGCGGTGAACCGTCGCTGGTTGGGTGCTTGCTCAACCAGTGCTGGAAATCTGTGTCGTTAGCTCGAGGTCTTTGTTGGCGAGCGTGTTGGCGTCGTCGTCTTTTCCGTCGTAGTGGTCGGTGTTTCTCGCTATCCAATGCCAGTCTGAGGTGCACAGCCTGGTGATCGGATCCTGAGTCGGGGCATGACGAAGCAAACGCAACAAGCATCAAGTGTCGGGCCCGTTGGTCCACGAGGATGTAGTCAATCTGAGACTGCGTGAGCTTGGAACCAGCGTGCATGTACGTGAAAATATTATGCGGGCGCTTGCGAAACATTGTGTTTGCGACGATAATGAGTCTGCGCATGCATGCCCGTGATCGTAGCCAAGTGCCTCGTTGATGACACCCGGTCAGTCCACGATTCCCGAGAGTTCGCTTCTCTATGTCACGGCCGTTGTCGTGCTCGTCGTCGTCGCAGCGTCTGCCCACTTTCGCGTTCAAATCGCCTGTGAATATGAACGTTAGTTTTTTCTTTTTGGCATCGTCGTGGATGATAGTAAACATATCGTATACGCACTGGACACGTTCGTCTCCATAGCCTCCATATGGAAAGTACGCAGTTGCTATCCGGAACTGGCATTAGGGAAGGTCGCGGTCAATATAAGCGATCCGCTCGTTCACAGCTGCCAAGCTCCTGATGCGTCGTGCGTGTCTTCGATGCACCAGGAAACCAACACCCCTGGTCGGGCTCTCATGCCCAGCAGCTGCAAATGTATGTCCACCACTCGCTGTAAACCAAAGCTCCCGCGTCGTAGTCCGCCCATGTCTCATTGAGCGCCACAACGTCCCAATCTATGTCCACAAGCTCGTGGATGAGAACGTCGATCGCATCGTCGTTGGTGAGGCTACGGGCATTTTTGTGTATTATCTCAATAGCGTCGTCGCTGGCGCCGTTGTGTGGCGTAGCTGATGTGGGTGTCGCCATCTCTCGCAGCGTGCCTTTCGCCGCCTGTTGTTGGCAAGAGCGTTGATTCCGAAAGCATGTCGGAAAATCACCCTAGTGCTGCTGTATCGTCCTCGTCCTCCGCCAATGCTACGTTGGGATGGCTGTTGCTGTAAGGCCGTCTGCTCCTGGATGGAGCCAGACTGAAGAAACGTGCACCGTTGTGAATTGTACCCAGTGCAACCGAGAGGCCGACCATCGGATGTGAAGGTCAAGGTCAAGGCCAGCGGAGGCTGGAGGTCGATAGGTGGAGGTGGCGATGGGACGTCGGATGATGCAGACTGCAGGTCGGAGTGCTGAGCTGGGAGAGCTTGGAAGTCGATAGGTGGAGATGGCGGTGGGGAGTTGGATGGTGGAGGTTGGGTGCCGGAGTCTTGAGCTGGTGGAGTGTGGAGGTTGAGAGGTTTCGGTGGAGGTGGAAGATCGGATGCTGGAATGCCAAAAATGGGTGGCGGTCCCCGCATGCCACTGGGGCCTTCGGTGGACCTCCCTGTGGGGCCACGGTCCTCGTGAGGGGTGCGCCGACATCGGTGGCGGTCCCCGCATGCGGGCCCGCCGCTGGGGCCTTCGGTGGAACTCCCTGTGGGGCCACGATCCTCGTAAGGGGTGTGCCAGAATGGGATGGGCATGCGGAGACCAGGCAAGGGACGGGAAGAGGGAGGAGGGGGAGGGGGCAGCGGGAGGTGAGGTGAGGTGACGCGGGGAGCTGTCTCTTCAAAACGAGGACCCAACACCACAGGATGGTTGGGAATGATTCGGAGTTCTGGAGGCGACGTGCACGCCGAACTGGAACGCCTGAGGGATGTGCCGAATCGGGCGCGGGTACGCCATGTAGACCCTGCCGCTGGGGCCTTCGGTGGAGCTCCGCATGGGGCCACGACACGTGAGGGGGGGGCCGAATCGGGTGCGGGTACATCATGTGAACCCTGCCGCTGGGGCCTTTGGTGGAGCTCCCTATGGGGCCACGAAGCGTGTGCGGCCTTCGGTGGAGCTCCCGATGGGGCCACGAAACGTGTGAGGGGTGTGCCGAATCGGGTGCGGGTACGCCATGTGGACCCTGCCGCTGGGGCCTTCGGTGGAGCTCCCGATGGGGCCACGACGCGTGTGAGGGTGTGCCGACATGGGATGGGCATGCAGAGAGCAGAGGCAAGGAGGGGGAGGAGGGGGCAGGGGGCAGCGAGAGGTGAGGTGACGCGGGGCGCTGTCTATTCAAAACGAGGGCCCAACACCACAGGATGGTTGGAACAAATTATGCAATCTCTGGATACATTAGATCCATTGCATCACAACGTTCGCGGACCTGCCTCCGGCAACACGTCACTCCTGGATGTGGACTCCTCTGGGTTGGCGGGGTGCACACCCGGAGCACGTGCAGTCCAGACGTTGTGGGGCCTGGTGGAAGCCTCTTTGGGGCCTCTTGGGGGCCTCTTGTGGGTTTCTTGGGGCCTCTTGGGGGGTTATTTTTTGACGCAATCAAAGTATCGCAACGCTGTTCCTTCGCCAGTCGATATAGTGGACCCTTGCATACGCATCGAAGTTCGCCTCGACACAGACAACCGCGTCAAGATAACGCAGCGTGTGCTCCTCCAGCGCAAAAAATAAAACGAATAGCAAATCAACCATGTAGATCGCCCGTGGATTTACTAAAAACGGTGACTCTGCCGTTTGAGAGCCCCAACATGAAGCGGCCATACGACCAATTCGCCGATAGTGAGGTTGGTGTGGCCACCGGGTGATACAGCGGTGCCAGAATTCGATGTCCCCTGCGCGACCCAAAAAAGAAACATGCTATCTGAAGAGAAATGTACAGGAATGCTACTAGTAAGATGAGCGCTAGCTAAAAGGAGCACATGTGATCTGTACACTATGAGAACAACAACAAGGGGTTGCGAGGGGGGGGGGCAGGAAAAGAGGGGAAGTGGCGGGGGGGAACAGGTGCGGCGACTAGTACGTACACACCAGAAGTGACACGAAAGGGGCCTCTTGGGATTTCTTTGGGGCCTTTCGGGGCCTCTTGGGGGCGTCTTGGGCAGTCTTGGGGCGCTCTTGCGCCGTTTGGTTCCTTCGGAGGCCATTCTATGGGCCTCTCGCGGCCGCCTTAAGGCTTTCTTGGGGTCCTCTTGGGCCGTCTTGGGGGCCTCTTGGACGTCCTGGGGGCCTCTTTTGGCCGTCTTGCCGCCAACTCCATCTTAGTGAAAGGATTTGGCGGTCAACTCTCCTTTCGTGAAAAGATTCGGCCGTCAACTCTCCGAGTTGACGAACCCCCTTTGGCGGCCTCCTTCCGAGTTGACGAACCCCCTTGACGGCCTCCTTCCGAGTTGACGAACATCCTTGGAGGCGTCCTTCCAAGTTGACGAACCACCTTGGCGAACCCCCTTGACGGCATCTCTCTGGGGTGACGACGACGGCCTCCTTCCGAATTGACGACCCCCCTCGACGGCCCGACTCGAGGCGCCCTCCGTCTTGACGAACAAAGCGTCGGGGCCGAGCTAATTGTTAAAAACGATTTCGGTCTTGACAAACAAAGTGTCAGGGCCGAGTTGGCGGCTCCTCTCGTCTTGGCGAACGAGGTATTGGAACTGAATTGACGATTGCTTTTGTCTTAGCAAACGTAGTCTTTGGGCCGACTTGACGTCTGTTTTGTCTGGGCCGAGTTGATGACCGCTGTGGGCGTTTCTCCGGACGTGCGCCGTCTCAGGCACTGGCGGCTGGACTCAAGGCTGAACGCTGGTCCATGTAGCTTCGTGGAGAAACGACGGGGAAAATGGCCGGGCAGCGACGCGCCGACATGGGGCCCCTCCTGCGGGCGTTGCACGGCGTTCCAGGGATTGGGAAGACCTTCGCCATGGACAGGATCTCGAAGGAATTGTTAGAGAAGGGCATGGGGTGGGCGCGCGGCATAAGCTTCCAGGTAGCAGCTTTGCACGCAACAAACGCGTCGCTCTCGATTGGAATAGGATCCACAGTGCCTTTGGCATGGGCGTATGCAAGGCGAAGGAGCAGAGCGCTGGGGGCGATGGAAGAGCGGAGTCGAAAAAGAGAACGAATACGCAAGTGGCCGCTCAGCGGATGTCACAATGGAAATGGCTGCTTGCCGACAAGGTGAACATGGTGAGCGCGAACTTCCTTGTGGAGCTCGACTCGCATCTGGGGGCGTGGACACGTCGTTTGTTGCTTGGCTGAGACACCTATCAGCTGGCACCGCCGTCGGGAACGGGAGTCAATGCGCTGCCCACGTCGTATCTGAAACATGCGCGGAAGTACGCACTGGGTGCCACGGAGGACCACGGGCAGCATCGCTTCTGGGAGTAGGAGGCGAAGAGGCAGTGCAAGGGATGACGAAGTTGACGGAATGTAAGCGCGTGGAGAACGGGACGATTGGTTCCTTGGAATACAAGACGAGTTTCGCCGCGGTGCGTTGACAGAACGGACGCGCAGCGTCTTGCGCGGCAGGCCAACGGACGTGCCAGGGTCGCGGGCGAACCGCGCAGCGCAGTGCGGCGACGTTCGGTTCGAAGAGAACGCGGTGACAACTGCCAGAACTAAGGCGCTAGAGTGCGAGGTTTGCGTGTGGGCGAGACAGGAGGACGCCCGTGGCGGCGTCGGCCGAAGAAGCGCGGCTTCGAGAGGAGAGGTTTGTGGAATCCGTCGCCTTCTATTTAGGAGGGGAAGAACACACAAACACAATGAATCGTCGATTCCCAGAAAATATGGGAAAATATTGGAAGTGGGGGGGAAGACAGAAACCCAGAAAATATAGGAAAATATTGGGAATATTTTTATTTGTGTGTATTTATTTGTGTGTCTTGGGGCCCCTTCACCTATTCCAATCAGGCCACTCGGTGCCAGGTCGGGAAGCAGGAGAGCCGCCCAGCGGGCGCAAGAACGACAGGGGCCAAGGCTGCGGGCGACTGCCGGAGAGACCGCCCATGCCGCGGGGGGGGGGGGGAGGCAGAGGCGGCCGCCCACGGTGGAGGACAGACTACAGTCGGGGCGTTGACCTAAGGAACCCAGAATAAGGAACGAGGCCCCTTTTTTCCATAAGTTAAAGTTCGATTTCCCATCGAAAACATAAGGAAAACCTGAGGCAAGCTGTGAAACACTTAAGGAACGCGGAGCCCCTCCCCAACAAAAAGGGTTCCTTCTTCAGCGCCCCGACTGCACGGTGGCTGGGATCCGCGAGAGTGCGCAAGCTTCCTGGGGGTGGCCCCCGCTGACGAAGGGCGTGCCCGTTGCCCTGGGAGACCACCTGGGCCGGTCGAAGAAACAGCTGCTGCGGGGGCTCACAGCGACGATTCATGCATGGGCGTTGCGCGGGGACAAGGTCGGGGAAGCTGAAGACGAGGAGGTCCTGCTGCATTTGCCCAGAGTCGTGTCGTGCTGAGCTGTTGCGCGCAGGACCGGCAGCTCCCTGGTTGGGGTCCGGGGCGGTGCCCAATTTTCCCATCGGAGGGGCGCCGTAGTTTTTGGGCGGGCATCGGGGGCATCCAGCGTCAGGCGCGAGGCGCGCGCAATGCATAATCTCACCGTCTTTGGCAGTCACGGCGCACGTCGCGCAGGGGCGAACAACGGCCGCAGTCATAGTGGATCTCGAGAGGGCGTGGCGCCAGCTGGATGTTAGGTTGCGTTGCCATCGCGCGGGTGCGAAGGCGAGAAGACCCACTGATCTTCCGGCCGTTTGATAGGGTGGCCTACAACGGAGGCGAGATGGCGGGCGCGAGGAAGCCGTTGCAGGAGCTCCGAGGAGAGGGCGTGGATTGGAATTGGAAAGGATGCGAGGCGGAACGAAGACGCGGGACCAATTCGGGTGGCGCCAGCGCAGGCTGCTTGTAGAGGCGTTCGCGAAGTATGAGTTCCAGAGGAATGGCTCACCGGCATTTTGCAAAGAATGCACGGTGATTGTGAACCGCGCTTGAGGGCAATGGCGCCCGACACGCAATGCGCTGGTCACCTGAGCGAAGGGCGATGAAGGCCTCTCCAGGGAGGTCCGGGGGTTTGTTCGGTAGAAGTTCGGAGGTTTGTCCGGTTCCTGTTGGGGGGGTTATTCGATTCCGTTCGGGGGTTCGTTCGGATCCGGTTCGGGGGTTTGTTCGGTAGAAGTTGGGAAGTTGGTTCTGGAGTTCGTGGGTCTGCTGTAGTTTCGGGGCCCGTGGGGGGCCCTGGGAGCCCAGAAACGATGAACAATCTCGGGAAACGCTTCTCCCAGGATGCCTTGTCCTTTATGCCGAATTCTCCCGCGGGCCGCTCAAGTCGTGCCCCAGAGGGCCATCAGCAGGAGCTCTCAGAGCTCAGCGAAAAACGCGGCAGCACCTGCGCGCTCTGCGACAGCGCCGCGAAGGCCAGCTCTGCCTCCATCAGGCGCAGGCTCGGGCTAGCCTTCTTTAGTAGCTGCATGCTCTGGAGTGCCATCACGAAATCATCCACATCTAAAAGGCCTCGATGTTTCACGTCGATCACGTCAAAGATGATCTTGCTGTCCGCCTCGATGTCGACAATGTCCTGGAGGAGCTCCAGAACATCTGGATACGTCGCCACGATCGTCGCAAATACTTGTCTGCCCATCACTACGGGATCATCGGAATGGTTGCCCGAGATACGCCTCTTGAGGAGACGCCCAAGTTTCTTGCATTTCATGAGCATGTTCTGCTTCATCTCCTGCGCCACGGCGAGCTCGCTCAACCTAGCGGACGCAATGGACTTTTCAACCAAGACACCAGTTATGATGTTGAAGACGCCGAACACCACAAACATGTAAACAGCAAAATAACAACAAACAGCGCAAGTTCCAAAGAACGGGATCTCCAGAATGTGCACTAACAATGGAGTCCCATCTACAGATTCACATCCTTCTGTGAAGCACCTGAACACAGTGAAACAAGCTCTTGGTAGGGTGGAGAACAAATTCTCAGTGTAATCGGCAAGGTGGCCAGTTTTGCAGTATTGGCTGCGCTCGTCCTCGTTGCCCACGCACCACCGCCCCAGCGTCTGCCGCATCATCAGGCCCAGCATGAAAACGACACAGGAGAGGACCACGGCTGCCCAGAAGGTGGTCGACATACCAGCTTTGACCAATTCTAGCATGAGAAGTAACTCTCTGAACATCGGTTTCTTCACCACCCGCAACATCCGCGCAACCCGGATCAAGCGAATGAGCCGGAGAATCGAAAAGAACCCCATCGCAGACGTCGTCGCGAGCAGCGCGATGACGGTGTCCACGATAGAAGAAGACACGAAAACGATATCCGCAAAATGCCAAAAGCGCTCTGGCCCGGTCAGGAATCTCCAGAGGCCCCACAGCCACACCCTGCAGAACAACTCGACGACGAAGAACAGTGTGAAGAACGATTCGAGCATGAACCACCCTGGCCAATCCTCTCCCAAATCGAGGCTGAAAGCCACCGTGAACGAGTTCGCGACAATGAACGCAAGCGACAGCTCGTCGAGTAGCGCCTTCCACGCCATGGGGTTCGCGAGCTTCTCCCGAAAGCCCGAAGACAACGAAGGCCTCGAAGAAGCCTGGGTCATCATGGGCATGCTCTTCGGGCTCATTTCTGTCTGAAGGCCCTCGGGGGAACGGAAAAGGTAAGGATACACCTGCTCCCTAGGCCGCTCCCAGGCTGCGTTCTGACCAAGATCCCAGGGCGAGCCCAACCGTGGCAGCGAGAGGCCCCAGGGAGGCCCAAAGAGGCGAGAATAACGGAGGGGCGCCAGTACCGGCAAGTTTCCCTCCCTTGGCACATGATCGTCGAGGCTGGCATTGTACCCAGGGCTGCCATAGTACGCCGAGGCCGCCATCTCTGATGAACGTTCATCTCCACGCTCCCCGCGGCAGTTTCCCTCCTCTGACACATGATCGTCGTGGCTGGCATCGCACCCAGGGCTGCCATAGTACGCCGAGGCCGCCGTCTCTGATGAACGCCCATCTCCACGCTCCCCGCGGCCGTCCTCGGGGCGGACGAAGGCAAGGGGCAACGATAGGAAGGACTGGCTCAGGGGGAGGCACATCGACCTGGAATCGGCGATACGCCGCCAATAGATCGGCGATAGGCCCCAGAGAAAGAATCCCCACGTTCCTCGGCGGGGTGGGCTACCAGGCCCCTGGCGGCGATGAACGGGCGATTGAGGGTCGATGCGTCCCCCCCTGGGCCCATCCCCCCGAAAGTTGCCTCGGAGAAAGAGGTGGTGGACAAGGCGAGGTGACAAACAGATGGGCTGCGTGCAGCTGCTGCTTCCCACGCCGGAGAAGACCGCCCGATTCCAGAAACCCCCAATCCAAGTGTGTTGACGTCTGACTTCTGCTTCCGACGACGCTGCTGCCTTCCGACGACTGCCAACGGACCCGCCGCGCCTGCACTTCCGCCGGCTTCCGCAGGCCCTCCGCCGAGGGAAATAAAAATCGGGGGCGGGCAGAGCCCCCCCCCCCCCCCTGAAACAGCAATGATCAGGGAACACAGCCCAAGACGAGACCCGGCGGGTGCAGGCTGGCAGCGACTGCGGCCGCGCCGCCCTCGATCGAAAACCCGGACAAAAAAAACCCTCTCGGAACCGGGGCGGGGCACGCCGCACGCGAGGCCTTGCCCGGAGCGCGCCCCGTGTATCGGGCAACGTGCCCGGCGGCGGGGCCGCAGCCACCTGGAAAACAAAAGGCTGCAGTGTGTGATGTCGGAGTGGAAGAAAAAACGCCGCCGAATGGAGGTCGGGCCTAAATTTGAAGTGTTCGCGATGCCCTGGCAGGATGAGCCAGCATCGCAGCGGGAAGTCAGATCGCATGGGGCCGAAAAGGCGCCCGACCAGGCTTCCTCGGCGTGGGGTCGACATCGAAGCGGATCGGCCGCACCAGGACGCCAAACAGCGCCATGCAAGCAACGGGCCGCATCAACTCGAACGAATATCGGAATCGGATCTGATCGAACTCGGCGCAATCGATGACGGACCGGCGCGATCGGGTCGATCTGGACCCCGCCCAATGGGGCCCATGTCCTGGCCAGATCCCCAGGTTCCACGGGTTGTCCTGGCAAGGCTGGGAGCCCCCCGCCCCCTCTGGAGGTCTCCTGATCCGGAGGCCTCCAGACGTCCTGTGGAGGGCCCCCCCAAAAAGCCCAAGGTATGGCCTTCAAAACATCCAGAAACATCGATCCTCGAAGCCGAATCGACATCGAATTGGCATCGAATCGGATCGAATCGGGCCGACCAGAAGGAAGCCAACAATCTCCACATTGGAAACCCGACCTCCGTTCTGGTTATGGAAACTGTTCCTCCAAAACTGAATCCCGAACTCCTCTCCCAAACATTCGACGTCATTGCTTTTTCAATTCGCGGTCCCCAGACGTTCCCCAAGACCAGTTTTTCATTCAGAGTTTTCTGTTTGTGGTCTCGAGGCCCAGCGAAGGCTCCGCGAAGCAGGACATGACCAAACATTATCGTGATTCTTGTACAGGAAAAACATTGTGCCAATTCATCATGGATTCGGGCATTATCTTGATCATGTTGATAGGCTCTTGTTACTGACGTTCTTGTTCTTCTAATCTTGGCCCCAAAGTCCGCCCGGAAGGGGATGTATCTACTCTCAGTATCCGGTTAGCAAATGCACTAGCGCATGATGGGTATAAGCCGGCCGGGCGACCGGGGGGAGGGCGGGCGCGCGCGCGATTCTACTTTTCTGGAACAAAGAATTGCAATATCACTGTCGTCGCTGCTGGCGCCAACCTATGTAAAAAGGAAGCGGCGGCGGCGGCGGAGCCCGCGAGGGGGGCGTCGCGAATGACTCCTCCGCGGCCAGCCCGGCGCGAAGACTCCGCGCACGGGCGGGCGTTAGCCTTTAGCTGGCGCCCCCAATCTGCGGCGGGGCGCACCAGCCCGAGTTCGGCACGTCCCGAGGGCTGAAGTCGGCCTTCACCCCTTCCCGAAACACTTCGGCCCCTGCGGTTCAAACCCCAAAATTTGGCACTGCGCGCGCGGAAGGGCAGGGGGCGCTCCCGACGCAGCCCTGCGGGGCAAGCCGAAACGAGTCGGAGAGTTCCACTTCGATAGAAGCGCGCTGGCGCGCGCCGCCCAGCGATCGGCTCAAAAGGCCATCAAGGCCTGCCGCCGCGCCGCGGCCCGCGCTGGAATGCTCGATGCACAGCCCCAGCAGAGTGCGGCCCTGAAATGCCCCCCTAGTCACTGGTCGCCGCGGCCCCAGCTGCTGTCCCAGCTCTGCCAGTGGCCTGAGCCCCATCCCGAGCTCCTCGACGGCCAGCGGCTTTGCGAGTCGCGGCGCCGCGGAAGGCGCGGATCCTCTACCTCCTCTGCGGCCCTCAGTCGGATGTCCGCGTGCTGGAAACCTCCCGCCGCGGGTCCTGGGGCAGAACTCGATGATGCTGCCGCCGACAGTGATGGCCAGTGATGGAGCTCCCAGAGTGTCGGTTCCGCTTTTCGGCGGCGCATGACAGCCTGACGAGTCTGCGGCCCCTGATTCCAACGGCGCTTCATTCCTTCATCCCTGGCGCCTCCTTGCCCATTGCTCCCGGTGGGCGCGCGCGCCGTCGGCGGGCGGTCCTGGGGCTGGGTTGATGACGGGCGCTTCCCGTCATGTTTGCTGCGAGCGCGAGGGTCCCTGGAAGCAGCGTTGACTTCTCCCCGCGGTCCACAGCGTCCTTCCAGCTCCTCTCCCATCAACCCCTTCAGGTCCGCGAGCGTTAACTCGGGGTGACGGAAGTCGGCGAGCCGCTGCTCCCGGCCAATCGATGGTTCGTCTGCCTCGTTGTCCTCAGGGCGGTCGCAGTCCCAGTCGAACGGCTCGAGAAGGGAGTTGTCTCGCCGTCGAGGAGCCGGCCTCCTGCTGATGCATGACCACCAGACCTTTGGATGGACAGCCGCGACCAGGCCCGTGGCCGGAGTGCCGGCGCGCGCCTGGAACTTGATCCAGCTCTTCCCCAACCTTTGCCATTTTCTGTCAGTGGGCGTTCTGATCGTCTGGCGCCAGGTCTCCTGGAGACGTCGGGCGCCATGAGAAGGTAATTAGTCATGAGGTTGCGCCGATGCGCCGTCTTGCTCTGTAAGGCCTGATTGCGGCGGAACGCTGCTCCCAGGGCGCCAGGGTGGGTCCACTTGTCTTGTGTTTTCTTGACCCCTCTTCAGGTCCCCGCCCATGCCCTTGTGGCGTTCGGCACAGGGCCAGGGACGTCGTCCCTAGGCATCTGGTCGATTGCCCCGCCGATCACTTTAGCCAATCCTACCTCTCGCCACTGATGTGCCGGCGCCATCGAATTGGGCGCCTGAATTTCTGGGAACAAGAGCACGAGCGACCGACAATGAAGGCAATGGGGCATCCCCTTGCGATTTCTGCATGCACCATCATAGACGAGGCGATCATCGCCCCTCGGCGGGGGCAGGATACTATTCGCCTTGAACTCCGCCGGCGCAGGGGCGTCGTCGCCATCGCCGCGGACTCGATGGAAAGACAAATGTGATCAAATCCCATCGACGCAGCCTGACCCTGGCCTCGGATCAATCTTCGCGCCGCGGAACCGCTGGTCATGGACCAAGGCCAACGAAACTGTTGGGGCCACGGCGCCAGCAACGATGACTCGGGAGATCCAATGCACATCGCTCCAATTTGGACGGAACTCCGTGGCGGGTGAGCAGCCCCGGAGAATCCAGAATGCGGCTGCATCAATGATTCGAGACGAGAACGTCATGATGCGCCTGCCTGACAGCGCGCGCGGGTCGCCCAGGTTGAAGACGCTTGCGTCGAGACTCTGTGCGCCGTAGCCCCTCGACCATCCGTTTGGCCTAAGCGAGCGCGGGAAATGCTCGCGGTCCTCTCCGCGCTTCGTCTCTAGGCCTCGACGGACCAGCTCAACTGCTCCGTTGGCGCTATCCTCCCCGGCTTCGACGACGCAGTAGTCGACCGCCAGGTCGTTTGTCCTCTGAGTGGGAAAGACATTGAAGTATTTGCACTGTCGCGCCCAATTGAGGTCCTCCTCCTGGGCCGCCGCCTTCCCAGACATCGACTGGATCGCGGAGGCGACGTCGAGCGGCGCAAGCCACCCACCTGGAACAAGAGCTTCGGGCGTGCGCGGCCGTCCTGTGACTTCGTCGCCGGCGGCCGCGAGGTCGAGAAGCCCGCGGTCAAGCCGCCGCTGCTCCGCGCTCCGCGCCTGCAGAGGCCGCTCGCTTCGAGCGATCTCGCCTGAAGGGATGCACGTCAGGTGCGCGCCGCCCAAGCGCGCGGCCATCGTTGCGCCCTTGACGACGGCGTCGTCATCATCTTTTACTATTTCGACGCCCAGGATGCGCTCGGTGTCGACCCGCAGCATGGCTGGGGAGTGCAAGAAGCGCGCCCGCGCACTGTCGTAGCCCTCGCCCTCGACCATGTCCACGATGACCTTCGCTTCCGCTCAACCTCCCGAGCTGAGTGTACATGCCGCGCTGTGCCTCGCCATATTGACGATGAGCGACGCCAGCCGTTCGGCTTCCTCGTCCCCGACGTCGCTGTAACACGCGCGTGCGCGTCGCTTCTCGCGCGGATTCATCGGCGCCTTGGTTCGCCTTCAAGGCGCCCTGAGCGATTGACTTTTGCGTTTTCTATTTTGGGCTCTTGACAAGTTGGCAGCGATTTTCGTACTTTAAAACGCTACGTTGCTTTAGCGTTTCCAAGGCTGTTTTTTGGCGTTGTTTTGGTGTCTTTTTCCTCAACCAGAGCTTGCCTCTGTGGGGGTCCCAGCGGATTCATATGGTTAGGTTAGGTTTGTCGCCGATTTTCGCTGTGCCCGGGTGCCCGGGTGCCGGGGGGTGCCCGGGGCCCGGGTGCCCGGGGGGGGCCCAGGGGTGCCCGGGTGCCCGGGCGTGCCCGGGGGTGCCCTATTAGCCCTATATAGCCCTAAGCCCAATAGCCCTATTGTCCTATAGCTCTATAGCCCTATAGCTCAACAGCCCTATAGGTTTTTTTCTCCGGTATCATT